TGTGCTGTTTGTGTGCACAGGCCTGCGGCAGCCACAGTGCTGTGGGGCTGTGGACTCTGTGGGGCTTGTGGGGCTTTGAGGCCATAGGGTCTGAGGGGCGATGGGGTCTGTGGGGCCGTGGGGCCATGGGGTCTGTGGGGCTTTGAGGCCATAGGATCTGAGGGACAATGGGGTCTGTGGAACTGTGGGATCTGAGGGGCCGTGGGGCTATGAGGTCTGGGGAGCCTGTGGGGCTGTGGGCCCCGCGCCCGCCACCAGTGTCCTGTGGGGCCTGGAGCGTGCCAGGGCGGCTGCCAGGGCCCTCACCACAGCTGAGAAACAAGGCCTGTGGGGCTGGGTAACCGAGAAATGATCTTTTCCTCAGACAATAAATAAAACCAACATGCAAAAGAGCCACAGAAGTGAGGCAAACAAGCCCAATGCTGCCACAGGCCCAATCCATTCTCCTGTACTTAGTTCCTAAGATAGACACAATATCCTTGTACCCTAAATGAAAGGATCCAGCCAAAATGTGGCTGAAGCAGCACAGTTCAAGCTTCAATGCATATCTGGTTTTCTCCATCATAAATCACCTATAGTAGTGCACATTTCCAGGTACAAGTTTCATTAGCCCTCAAGAAATAGTGCATATTATGGCAAATCTCAGTCTAGCATGTGGGCTTCTGCTGGATTATGGTATCTATGACCTAGCAGGAAAATTACAAGACAGACAAGTGCACAGATCAGTAAAGAATCAAAAACCGTTAATGTCTGCTATGAAAGCATCATGAATGTCAAAAAAATTTATGCAGCTCTCAATTAATTTTTTTGAGTCCCCTTTCCTTGCTTTATTGCATCTTGTCTGACTCATTAACAGTCCCCCCAAATGGCTGCAGTTACCCTTGTCTGGAACCCCTACTCCAGAAGGTTTCACTGGAATACCAGGGATTAGGATCCATAAACTATATTAATTCTTACTATTGTTTGTCTCCACAGCATTTTGCAACCACACTCCAAGTAACTTATCCAACCCATCTGTTCCCACCATCCTCACTTTGTCCTCATGTTCACAAATCTTCCTACCAGCCCACAAGAGCACTCTTTTCTTACTTACTTGTTCGGTGTCTGGTAGAAGCTGCTTTTTACCAAGTCACATACCTCAGGTCTTCTTATGCTGCTCCCCCATGCTGCTCTTGAAAAGTGTGACAGCCCTGTGTCTGCCTCTTTCAACCACACTCGTATATTACATGTTTCTTTATGCAAGGCTATAGCTGAGGTCCCAACAGAGAGCCAGTGTTCACATGCTAAGGGATACAGCTGTGGCAGATTAACTTGTGCTCAACACCTCAGAAATAGGCAAAGAGTACAATAGAAATAGCAGAAGCTCAGAAAAGTAGGTCCCAGTGCAGGTTGCAGCCAAGCTAACAATATAAGACATGGCTACTACCCTTTCAGATCCATCATTTTCACCACGAAACCCTCCAGCAGTGCCATTTGTAGTACTAGAATCACAGTCTAGTACCTTCTTCTAGAGTGAAGAATGGCTGACAGAATTAAACTCTCCAAAACCACAATGGCAGAAGCAGCAAGATCTTTTTTGTATTCTACTACTTTCCTGAGATACTGATAATGACTCATGCAATGGCCTAGACAGAGGACAGAAATCAAAAATCAATTTAAGCAGTAAATAGAACAGTCCCACCTAACATCATCATGATGCCTCCATCACAGGGTAATTACATTAACAGAATCCCATTGATTTTCCCTGCAAATCTGGTGTCTTTTCCTCTGTTACATTCTCTGGTGTTTGTCTGTCAAATCAAAACAAATCCTGATGGAAGAAAAACATCCAATTAGAAAGCAACTGTGATGAAGTAGCCATTTGTAGTGTTTGTGCATAAATGATAAATAAAATTCTGTGATTACTTTACATAGAGGAGTAGGTTCCATAGAAACATAGAACTTAAGAATGTGCATAGGTGGGTTACCCAGTATATGTGAAAGTCAGGAACTCCTTTAGATAACATAAAATTTCAGCAATATTTTGTCCATGTCTGTTACCCAACTCAATGGTTCTTTTCTTGTCAGGGGCCACATGACTCTTACCTGAAAGACCTTTACAGAGAAAGCTGTGTTGGATTATGTGATACCACTTATGAACAAATTTTTGCTGTTTGAAAATTATTTGCTATGGTGATCTGTCATCCTATAATCCTTGTAAAGCTATTGTTCTTCACCAAATTTTGTAGCAAATGCAGCAATGTTGCAAGGTATATACAGATGTAAATTTTGTTATATCTGTAGGCATGCCAGGAGTGTGGTCAAGACTTGAACTTTTGGAGGCCATAAGAAAAGCAGTGCTCAAGCAACCAATAGTTCTAAATCTTGCTTTGGAACCTTTTCCTGGTGGTGTCCATCTCATGTTGAGCTCAGAATCTGTGTAACTGAGTCTTCTGACACAAGAGAAGGTATAGCTGGGGAGGGAAGGTTATTTCCTTGCAGGTAATTTCCATAGCATTTTCTGGCAGCTCCACAATAATAAGGCTTGAGAAGGGTACCAACTGTTCCAAATAGAGGCTTGTACAGTGCCAAGATAACAAAGTGAGCTCTGGAATTATGGACACACTGTTTTGAGTCAGAAATGGCTTTCTTTTTCCTTAGTTCCAAGATGAAAGAAGGAATTATATGTAAAATGGCTTGTAAAAAATGCTTCCTTTTGATACAATCTTTTGGAAACTAGAGTACAGAACAACCTGATGCCAACCACTAGTACTCCTGTTGTGAAAAATGGCTCTATTCCTGTCTAGTTAAGTCAGCCGTGTCATCTTCTGCCCTTTTTTGCAGTACATGCCCTACATACCTGGTGTTAATGGTAGTGGTAAAAATCTAAGGAAAGACAGCCGGCTGCTCATTAGCTCTTCACCTAAAGAAAGCAAGAACCACTCTTGACAGGTGACTATTAACTCCAGTCCTTCATTCCCCAACACTCAGAACAACTTTGAGAGAACATCTCAGAGCTTTCCTGAAGCCATTGGCAAGGCTTATCTTCCTGATTCCAGCTGCCCAAAATGCCTAAACCTAAGGCCTGATATTTCGTTTTCAGAAAAGCACAAAAAAGTGCTCTGCAGAGTCCCTTGTCAGAAGAAAATCTGCATAATCAGACCAGAAATCTGGGTCCTCACAAGCCTTTCAGTGTAGATGATACTGTCCTTAGTCATATTGCTCCTTGACCTGGTAATGAACAATGATTAAAAGCTCTTGTTTTCTGCAAGAATCAGTGTTAGTTTGCAACTTGCAAGGATCAAACCATTAGTTGATTCAGGAATGAACACAATACTGAGATTATAGCAAGTGTATGTACAGGCCTTGTACTTACTGAAAGTTGAATCACTGAAATTGGTAATACAGGATGCTCTCATACTCATGCTCTCTTGCAGATTCAGTTTTAAGATCTTCTTATTTAGTGATTACAGAAGACTGTAAGAGATAAAAACCAACCAAGGATCTAAAGGCTACCTTACCAAGAAACCAAACAAGCGAGAAGCCTGACATGAAAATAAGTATGTAAAATGTCAGACTGTACCAGTAAGAAGCAAGAAGCACACCAAGCAACCATTGTCAGGAACTCATGAAGAACTGGAAAGCATTCTACAAAATGCACACTTTTGTCTTAGTATCACATGAATGCCTAGAGGACCAGAAAAAAGGCCATGAGGTAGCAACAATCCTAGATACACCAAAGATCTTGGGCTCGTGAATCTTTGCCCTGGAGGTGAGCAGGGAGCTTTCAGAAAATACTATCCCACAACACAAACACTATGGCTGTGAGCCATTAGGTCCTTTACCTGCAGGCTTTCCATGAGACTTCCAGAGTTTCTACCAAAACATCTACCTTCTGAAGCTTAACAACAACATAGCTTTTTATAAAATGTGCTACCTAAACACTAATTAAAGTAACCACTTGATGTAGTGAACATAAAAACTCTGAGAAATAAAGCAATCTCATCTTCAGTAATGAGGCATCAAAACCCTTGACACCAAAACAGCTTCATCCACATATGAACATCAGTAAAAGTGTCATTCCATAAAACTTGTGAAAAGCAGTTTGAATAAGGAAATAGCCCTCTTCCCTCCCACATAAAATAATGCATTCATGCAGCTACTTATGGCTAAGAGATGAGAAACAGAACCCAAGTATTAGAAACATATTAATATGCTCTGTACACTACAACAGCTTTTGAAAACCAAGCCCATCCACCTGCCTAAAGGAAGCGGATTCAGAGCATGTTAATATATTGACAACATCCACGGAACACTGCAAGTCTAAGCAGAACTGTCTTCCCTCAAGCTGCTGCTCTCATCCCAACCAATTTCATCCTTTCATTTTATTAAACAGACAATTAAACTGATGCTGAATTAACTCCCTTTTCTCTGTACCTGTCAATTCCCGTTGCTCTGAATCTCTAAAAGATTTGCATTAATTTTTTTTCCACCTAATTGCAAATTCAGAAAATCTTTCCTACATGACTTACAGTTTTCATTTTTCTAGGCTGAACTGTGCCTGGTTTATCCAAAATTATCCTGGTCTGTCCTCTGTCATTTGATACTCCAAAACTTTAGACCTCAGAAATAAAAGCTTTTCACTGTCATTAGAGCATTATATACAACCATTACTCTCCTTAATCTCATAGTTCTCACTTAGTCACAGCTCCTTATTAATACTCCATGTGTCAGAGGACTTAAACACAGCCTATAGGATGGGGCCTACATATTCTTCATGCCCTGCTCAACATGAGAGCAAAACATCCCCACTACACCAACACAGCACATTCGTGTCCATGCACGTACACGTGGGGGTTTGTGAGCGAGGAGGTGGAAAATTACAATCTCTGTGTCCCTAGGGAAAGAAAACACGTTTCTGCTTCCCACCACCTACTGCAAAATAATAAAACATCTCAGGCTATCAAGACATATTATGAAATTACACCTTGTTAGTTAACAAGAAGCACAGTAAACTCAAGTCAAAAGAAAAAAAAATAGTGTTTTATTAACTACCACACTGTTATAATACACTTTAAACGTACAATAAGGTAGCCTTTAAATTTGAGGTGGTTTTAAGAATAACAAATGAACAGATTTCCAAATGTTTGTAAATAGGTGAACTGCAGTAATTATTGTTGTACATTTTTTGAAAATGGTATAGCACTTACAGACTGGCTATATAACTTCATTTTGTACATTTTCTATAATTGAAAATATAAACAGTAATTAAAAAATAAAAAGAAAATTCAGCATAATAAAAAACATATATGTTTATCAGTTAAATGTACTGGATACATACAATTTTTAAGGGAAGAAGCAAAAAAGGAAAGATGGCTGATATTTAAATGCAGATTGACTAACCAAAAACTAAACAACAAACAAACAAAAACCTCATAACCCCCCTAGTTCACTATGACTATACCCATATGTTTGGGAGTACTGTCAATATGGAAGTGATTTTTCTTTTGTATTTGCATATGTTATATTTTACTGGTAATTTACATGATGGCTTTTAAGGCCCTGGCATACAGATGTTTTTTTTGGAAAAAGATTTGATAAAAATCACTGCTGAGACGCAATACACCTTATTTTTGGTCCTCCAATGTTCAAAAGAAGGGATATACTTCACTATAACATCTGCCTTACCACCCAAATGCTTCAACCTATACATATTTATTTTTCTTAACATTTTAAGCTTTTTAAACATTGGTTATATTGCCCACCTTGGTTATTGAAAGAATATTAACAAGACATCATTTTGGCAAATTAAATCTTAAACATGGCTTTTCAATAGGATTTAAAAGGTGACTATCCCTAGAGTTCCATGTTAAAATGTAGTTTGCAAAATCTTACAAGAGTAATGCTTAAAATATTGTACATAGTTAACCTAATTAAAATAATTAGCTTCAAAATGACAAGTTGATGAGCTAAGTAAAGCCTACACTATGTAACATTTGCTTGGAAACTTGATTTGTCAGTTATGCATAATAAAAATTCCAGTCATCAAGAAAATTACAAAATTTCTTTTATCATAATGTGATTTCTTTTCACCCATCAACTTCTTTTATCTTACAATAGATAAATACCAACATGTTCTCATTTTTTTTACACTAAACCACACAGGATTGATGCATTTGGTTAGACTACCATTTCCATCGTTAAATTCTTTTTTTTTTTTTTTAATATAACTTGGTAAAATTTCTTCTCTTCTAGATTCCAAAAGTACCTACAAAACCCATGCAATTTTACCATTTTAATATACTATGGAATATCATACAAAGTAAGGCATTTCAGTGTCATGTATAACCAAGTTACTGTCAATCCAAAAATTTTTGCACATCAATAAAAAGATATCTAAGAACTTAGGAACAATATTCTTCTCACTACTGTATAAAAATAACCACAATTAATAGGTATCTTGTGTAATATTTACTCCATTGTCTCGTTTCCCGAAACTGTGACAAGCTGTAAAGGTATTTCAGTGTTGGTAAGAATATCCTGATTGCTGGTGCCAGATGTGTTAACAGTTCCTATTCCTGAAACAGAACCTTGTTGAATATTTGCAAGGATAAGTGTTGTTCCTCCTGCAGTAATCAAAGTATCATCAGATGTTGCTTCTACTGATGCCAGCACTGTACTGCTAGAGTGAATACCTTTTTTATTCTGATGTGTTTTAATGTGTTTGGCAAGATGGTCACTTCTCATAAAGCGTTTTGAACATTCTGGACAGACAAATTTTTTCTCACCTATCAAAGAAAGAAAAAAAAATAATCAAGAACACTTAAAATTAAACTTAATGCTTTTTAGAGTCAGAATTCTAACAAGAATTATACTGAGGGAGAAAGTGATTGAACATGATAAACTTGTGTGTTACATTTCTTGACACCCATACAAATCCCATACAATTTATATAAGAACTGATTTAATTTTCTGTGTGTCACTGAGCTTGGGGAGATCTTTCAGGCATACTAGAGAATATAGCCATCTCATATCCTCAGGCTACTAAGTCTCACTGCAATTATTACCAATAAATAACTTCTAGGAGGAGAACAAAACCTACCAAATGTTGGACAGAGAAGACTCAATCTTGTCATCAATGTCTTTCTTATAGTGGGTGCTGAAAACTAGATGCCATATTCTAGGTGCAGACTAACAGAAGAAGGGAACAATCCCTGTGATCAGGGTACTTGTTTCTGTTGATACAGCTCTGGGTATCATTGCTGCTGGCCTTTGACATGTTCTACTTGTCTATCAAGATTCCCAGGTACTTTTCAGAAGAGCTGTTTCCAACCTCTCCATGCTTAGCCTGCGTTATCCTAAGTGTTAATTCCATCCCAGGTGCAGTACTTTGTGACTGCTCTTGTTGAATTTCCTAGGATTCCTGTCAACCCATTCCTTCAGCCTCCATCTCTCTGAATAGCAGCCTTGCCATCAAGTGCATTGACTGGTCACCCCAGTTTGGGGTCATCCACAAACCTAGGAAGGTTAACAGAAGAATTCTGTTGATTCCTCCAGGTCAATGATAAAAATCTTATAAGAAGTCAAAGGATAGATCCCTAGAGTTCCCTGCATTTTACTGGTAGGCAGGTACATTAGGATTAACCACATCCTCTGAACTGGATCATTCAACTCGCCATTTTTAAAAACCATCAGTCTGTCCGTCCAGATAAACTGCAACCAGCTTGGATTTAGCATCCAAAATGTCTACACATAAGCACACCACTAAGAACAACATGGAATATTTTTCACAGACATCCAAAGACATTTTTCTAAGCAATGTAAATGCTGATAAACACAAAAATTATCTATCTACAGGTTTTTCCAATATGATTTTAAAAGGTAAACACCCTGTTGAATGCAAATATGAATATAGTTTGTAAGAAAACAGATAAAACAGACAACAGATTTTAAACTAAGTGCTCCTTGATAAGGTGGAGTATCTACATTAATTCCTTTTCTTTGTATTAGACAGAAGGAGAAATGTGAACCTGAAGTTCCTAATCGGTGGTCTGACCATGAAACTAAAAGGTGTAGAATGCTGCACCATCACATGCTCTTCATTGATTATAGGAATGATATCTAATCCCCAGGCCACCTAGTCCTCTTTTGTTCTTACTGAAGTTTTAAGTTGGAAAAGAGTTATAATCTGGTTCACACAAATGAAATGCATTGCTGAGCCTGAATCAAAGTATTCTCATTAAGCTACATTAAACATCAGCTTAAATGTCAGTTCTGAATCAAGAGGCATGTTTAATCTCCTCAGACGTACCAAAGATTCCCAAGTGTATAAATAAGATTTAGCTGATTTTAGAAAAATCACACTGCCTTAAAATCAATCCAATTCAAAGATCTGTTCTCCTCTTAAAAGTTATTTATCCAAGCTCAGTCCATATCACTCCTTTAGCTAAATACACCAGAATCAAAGACTGGAAACCTGTGTGCGTTCTTCGGTGTCGCTGGAGCTCATCGCTGCGAGTGAACCTTTTGCCACAGAACATCCAATTACAAACAAATGGACGCTCTCCAGAATGCCAGCGGAGATGAGCTCTCAAATGTGAGGTCTTCCCATATACTTTGCCACATCCTGGTATGTGGCAAATGTGTTGCTTCTTTTTTCCCAAGTTGGAGCCTCTGTTTAAAAAAGAAAAAAAAAGAGAGAGAGAGAAGTTATTCATTCTAATACATTCCTCCAAAATACTGGTCATATACATACATGGGGATACATATACCACAACAGATCTGCAAACCAACCCAAGAAACTTCATTTCTTGTTTCCAATACAACTGGATTCCAGAACACTTCATAAGGAGCTGGAAATGAATTCTATAATGCTATCCCAGCTCCACAGAAAATGATAAATTCAGCTGTGTGTGAAATGTATGTGATAGAAGCATAATCTTTAAGAAGCATACATGTACATGAAGTTGGAAATGCAGTTATTACAGCAGTTTGTACCACTTTGATGCTGAAGGGTCCCTATTTTACATTTCTCAGAGTTTCAGGCTTTTACCATATCAAAGATAGCTTTGGCAAAGAAAAACACAAAGTACTGCAACTGCCAAAATGGACACTGGAGATTCTGGCAACTGAGTAGAGAACAGATGGGACTTCTGGCATCTCAGGGAAACCTGAGAATCAGTTTGGGATTTGAAGGCAAGCAGACTAACCTGAATGCTTTCACTAAAAGAGGTGAAAGCTGATCTTGCTGACGTTTAAACGAATTCCTTGGTTTTCCAGTTAAAAAACAGAAATTCATCACAATGAACACAGAATTCACAGATCATATAATCCAGGCTAAGCTTGATGCTTATTTTAAGATGCTGTCTCACTGAAATGGCAGGTGACCAGGGGAAGCACCTGATACAACAGCCTAATTTATTTTTTTTAATCAAATCACAAGCGATAGACCCAGAGAAAGAGATCAGTCTGGTCAGTGCAGGGCATCATGATTGATTTCAGCCAATTTAAGAGTTTGCTACTGCTGAAAGGGGCACTTCAGGGAATAGGTCTGGCTGACAACATAGCTATATGAATGGTAAATGCTGGTACAAGGGAGGAGATTGAAAAATGCAGCCAGGCCATCAGGCCACCTTATTCCTCAGCAACATTAACTTAGAACACCGTAAGTGGATTCTGAAATTACAGTCTTGGGTGCTCCATCCTCCATGACTGATTATACAATTTTCAGCTGCTTCCCCATGGCAATTTTTTTCTTTAAACTGGGTGCTTTAGCTTCTGGTTTACATCTAACAAAGGTTCAGGGTAAAGTGTGGACACACTTCAAGGAGCTAGCAATTGCCACAAGCATTTCTGAACATGCACAAAAATGAACTCACTCTAGAAACTCACAGTATCTAAAGGGGATTCCAACCTAATCACATATGTACCCAAAACATTACAGACAGTCCAGAAAAGAAAGGAGATAAAATCCCATTAAGTCCTTGGAAATGTTTCTACAAATTCTTAATATAGAGCAATCTTCATAGTGTTTCATTAGTCATTTTATCTCAAAAGATAAAAACATCACCTGTACCTACTAATTATTTGTCATGACAAATACAAGGTTTGATTTCAGAACAAATTCAATAGAAGCAGAAGCAGAGTCCAGAAGGCTTTTGATCCTGTTGCAGCAGGAGAATCATCTAAGGACTTCATCCTCACATCTTCTCCAAACAAACCCTAGTGTCTTCCCCTCCACAGAAATTAGTACAAATATTTTGTAACTTGGCATGATATAGTACAAAAATTGGATGGAATCAATTTTTCATCAAAATTCAATTTTGACGTCAAAATTCCCTCAGAACAATGTTAATATTTCTAGGTCAATCATTTGAAATGGCTTCTTCACCTCTAGTCTAGACTGAAGGAAACCAAGGTTCAACTCATGGTCATTACTGTGCATAGCTGATACAGAAGACACAATTGTAAGCACCTCACCTAACTGCTGACAGAATTCCTTAGCACACTCTGAAGTTCCAAGTGAGGGGGAAGCTAAGAGTCCACAGAATGAAACTCACAAGACTACTGTGAATTAGCAACTAAGTGTATTTATTCTATACAACTTCATATGGGCACCTGCATGTTTGCTTCATGTGTGCTCTAAACTAACAGGATACAAGCCAAATTCTATCTGGACACTTTGCAGCTGTGACAGTCTGGCACTATGCCCTAACACATGATGCTGAGAGGCCTTTCTTGCTGCCACCATCACTGAACAAATGTATGTGACTCCAGCCTACTCCTTGAGTGGAGTTTAAAAACTAATAATATTAAAGTATTTCCATAGTACATTTTAGCTTTATGAAGACTGGATATGACGTTTCTCAATAACCAGGCAGACTGCCAGAGTTTCAGCAGGAAACACCTTCATCCACTGAGAAACTGGACTTTATATTCAGAGCATTGCCAGCAATAACATTGAGCATTTCAAGGTTAAAACACACACTCGTTAATTATTTGAAGAATGTGGTTTTTAGAGTTACATAGCTGCAGTGGTACTCAGAAGCACAGCTCCTCTATATATCAGACAGTAGTAGCTATATCTCAATGCAATTCCAGATGTAATTGTTAGAAGGGTGAAATCTCTAGGTGCTACTGAGAGGAGACTAAACTTTCTATTTAACTTCAGACACCTTAACTAGAAGCCTAATACATTCTATTTGGAAACAGAGTCATCCTTTGAGGCAAGTATGTCTCTGTCCACTTGCTTATTCCCCATTTATTATATAAGCTTGGGGCTAAAAGATATAAATTTACAAATCTAATACATCATCTTCTTCCCTTCCTACTTTCCCTCCCACCAAGTAAGGCAAAGATGATAGTGGCTTCCCACTTCACAAAACTGGTACAAATCTGAAGACTGCAACGTAGTTCAATTCCAAAAGCCAACAACAAAAACCAGAAAGAACTTCTCAACTAGCCTCTGAATCCAGAGCAAGCAGCAAGAAACACCAAAACAAACACTATATGATAAATGAAATTATGATGAAGTCTGCATATGTGAAGCCATTTTCCTTTTCCTTCTCCATTCAGAGCATAGGAACAATAGTATTAATTGAGTGAAACATTATTCAGCTTTTTCACACTCATTTAAAGTACTTTTCTTGTTTTAATAGTTACATGTTATTTCTGTACTATGCTAAATACAAAATCATTAATTTCTCCAGGGCTTTTTTATTCCTCATCATAGGTACTGATAACACTCACAGTCTCTAAGAAAACATTAATGGTTTTATCTTATCATCTTAACATTTTGGTATGGTGAACCTCAACTAGTGCAATCACTTTGTATCTCCAGCTATGAGGCAGAAAGAGATAAAGGCCAAAACTGTCAAACATCCACCAGCTTGAGGCATCAAGGTTAATGTAGTAGAAGCATATTTTCTCAGAGTACTCTACATGTTCATAGTCTGCTCAATCAAGTTCTTCACAGGAATGAACTCAGTACTTCTGCAGTGGAAAAAGTGGGGTATATAGATCTATACCTCCAAAGTTTCAGAGCCCTGTTGCTGCAGTCCTGTGTCTTGTTCCCTAAACACCTCCCAGTTGCTGCAATAAGTGAAGCAGGTGATAATCATTACACAGCCCTGAATCATTCTCTGTCAGCCATCCCATCCATCAAATGGCCCTAATGCCATTTGAAAATAATAGTATGCAATCAAGTAATTTGAAACCAAGTGATAATGCATATACACAAGGAATTAAGTTAAAGTTGCCCAGGATATCTTAACTAAGCATTTGCCCGATCTTAAATTTTGCAACTTTAACAACACTTTAAGAATTATGAATGCTATCTGAAAGAATTTACAAAAGCACATGTTTTACCATCTGAAACTCTGCAAATCACCAGCAGAGTTGAAAGACTAATCAAAACTCAGAATTCCAGCACTAGGGATAAACAGGTAACTCTAGCAGCTACGGAATACTAACACTCAAATATTTTTTCAAGTGGGCTTATTCCTTTCTCCCAAACTCTGAAGGAATTCTGCATTCTGAAAGTTGCTCTAGCAACTATAAGCACTTTCACTCTTTTCTGTTTCCCCACCATTGTCTCCTTCATTATCCTGTTTCTCTTCCAGTTCTAATTCTTCTCACATCCTGACTTCTTGTCCTACTTTTCCTTGTTACTTTGTATGTTTGATGTGTCCAGGCCTTCCTTTACAGGGGATTTCAGATTCTCATCTATCTTAACTCTGTCGTAGCTCTTACCTCAACTCGTTCCCAAAAATCGCATATCTGAGTTTTCAGACAGACTACACCCTTCTCCAGACTTCCCAAATCATCTCTCAGAAAGATTCTCTCACGGCCTGAAACTTTCAAATTTCATTTTATAGCAACTCCACTCAGAAGGAAGAGGATTTTACAGTATAGATTTATAAATTAAACCACTGTAGTTTGGAATAGAGCATGAGGAAGATTAAACACCTGGAATCTCTGTTTCCTAAGAGCACATGCAGTGCAAATCACATTCCCAGAGTTTCTCCTGAAATGAAACAAATCTTAACCCAAGGTGTACTTTGGGCAGATTTTCATAGCAGAGCCAGAGTTCACCAACAACTTAGAAATGTCTGTGCCATGTTGTAGTGAACTACACTTAGAAATTTAACAAGAGGAATCTGACGGACAAAGATGCTGCATAACCCACAAATATTATCACCACCTTTGCTGGTGATGTAAATGTATCAGAGTCTTTTTCTCTTCAACACACTTAATGCTTACTCAGCATGGCTATCTGAGATATCACCTCCCTGTGCTTGCAAGGCAGGTATCTAGAATGTGCAGCAGGAACTGACAAGAGACTTGACAAGAGAAATAACTCAGCCAGTGCTATTAGAACTCTTAGCGCCACTGGACACTGAGAGGCTCTTCAAAGACATTTTAGTGATTTACACTATAGTTCCCAAATAAATAAAGATCTCCATTTTAGTGAGGAAACTGATATCAAAATGGACAAATTTTAGCATATTAGAAAGAAGCCCCTGCACAATTCTCTCAAGCACAAACACAACTAAATATTTTCACTTGTAAAAGGCAGCTTATTACCCTACCCCTTTCATATTCATAATCAAGGCATTCAAAATAAGTGTTTGGAAGTAAAATAAAATCTTCAGAACAAAAAAATAGTAATATTTTAATGAGATGCACAATAATAAAGCATAGGTTCCAATGCAACACTGAAGTTTAATGAATTGGAACTTAGTACCTCTTTGTTATTCAAGTCTCACTTATTTTGACTGAAAACAGTTCAAAATTTTTTATTTAGAAATGTTATACAAACCTTGCTATATTATACAAAACTTGTTTTTCCTAGGAACCCAGTGAATAAAAAAACCAGGAAAACTGTATTTTTGTAACACTCCAAAGCAATTAAACTGTGGAAAACTGCTCAATCACCGAGGAAATGCAGGAACACAGGATTTAATCAAGTTCTTGACATATGATAGGAAGCTAATTACAGATGTGCATATTCCAAAATATTTCATTTTCATATTTTTAGGGCAATATTCTATCCCCCTTACTTGTACTAGGTGACATCTAACTCCAGATTTTTTCAACTAATCTCATAGGAGTAACCCAGAAAGGATGGAATAATCTGCTCTTTCATCTGCAAACCCCAAAATGGAAGTGGTAGTCCTTTATTGCATAGTCTCCTTTGCATAAGCCTGTAGTTTCCTCTCACTGCAGACAACTGCTGTTAACAAAAGCTCATTTTTCTTGCCCATTATTCATTTTTCATCATTAAATGTGTGATGTGACACTGAACTTTACATACCTTCCACCACCTTCTTTGCAGTTGGGACATGTACATGCCACTCGTCGCAGTCTTTTCCCCTCCTGATGTGGTTGGTCCCCTTCCTCATCTACAACCTGTACTCTCAAATGTGTTAGATCATTAGTATTCAGTGTAGAATCACCACTGAGCTGCCACTCTTCTGGATCAGGATCCTCTTCTTTAATCCTAATATCTGGGAAAAAGAACAAACACAGATCTGTAAGTAGCCCATTAAATAGACAGAAAGGAAACCATAATGATCAAATGTTTTTATTCTTGAGAGCACTATGCCAGTCAAAAGTCAACAACCTTAAGTGCATTCTGACATTGCTTCTGTGCCCTTGTAACCTGTAGTTAAAAGTTTATCTTACTATACATTTCAAAGATAAGCTATAACAAAGTATTATAGTTTAAGTTTGAACTGTTCTTGGGGAGGAATGCTGTCACCAGGAGACTACTGCTTGCTTGAAACTTGGGAAAAACTGAGGAACAAGAGGCTGGACAGAGGTTGAAGAAAATGTAAACACATGTTTCAAATGATCCTGAGTATTTCTGTTTCCACAGCATTTCTGAATTAGCATCACATGTAGTAGCAACAGCCTTCCTCAATGGTCTTCAGAAGGTTTTAGCATGCACAGAGATACATACAGTAATGTGAGAAATCAATCTAATAAAAGGTTTTCACCTGAGAAAGACTGAGATACCTAAGGAAAACAAATAAATTAATGTTTTTGTTCCATTTCCCCTTTTCATCTGAAATTTATGTCTTCGGCACAATACATAGAAAACATTTGGAGAAGAATGTTATTCAGCAGCATTAGACAGAGATAAGTAACAGATGAGCCACATCAATGTTTTGATATACCAGCAGCCAAAGTAGGTCTTAGCAGTTTTTTGTATGCAAAAAGGCCTCCTAGTTATTCCTTATAGGATGGACATTTGCAAATATGTGTACCCTCTCCCTACAGAGCATTCATTCAATCTAATCCAAGAATTAATTACAGCGTCATAACAACAACTGTTTTAACAAATTTACATTTTAATAGGAACATCTTCCCCTCAAACACTATTCTGCATGCCCAGTGGACTCCAAGTCTGAATTCCAAAAAAAGACAGTTTGTATGTATTATTTTAGAATGCTGAACCCCAGCCCCTTCTTTGGTTCAGCAGAGTAGTCTACTTTGAATTTTTTCTGTGAAAATGATTAGCCACTTATTAGCACAAACTAATAAGCAAACAAACATAATGTAGTGTTTGGTTTGTTTGTTTGTTTTTAAGCTTCAAATTAACATCTGTCTATCTTTCTGGACACATTCAAGAGATGCTTTTCCAACAAAACAAACCCAATTATCATGTAGACTTTTATCCTTAAACACTGAAAGCTTAAGCATTTGAGCTTTGTGGCCACTCTTGAGTTCTTTCTGCGAGTCAGTGCATCAGCCATCATATCTTTGTAATGAAGACAAAGCTGCAGATTACCTGCTAAAACATAAGAAAAACTGTGCTGGGTCATAGGATGAAGAGCATCCTGTCCCAGTAGAGATCAGGAAATAAACCAATAACGAAGTATGTAAAGAGTAATGGTTACCTGGTCTACCTTCAAAGTCATCTCCAGTATTCATCTGCTTAGAGATAAAGGATATTGCTACACAAAAATTTGCTTGATGCTAATAGAGTCTCAGCCTAGTCACCCCCAACAGCACAGTCTGCCTTTCTTTTGCACACATACAACCATATACAGGACTGCCCTGCACCCTACATCACTGATGTAACTACAGTTAAAGTAATTCTCTACAAAATCACTGCATTCAGAAGAGAATTACAGGTCAAAACCAGGGAAGTCTAGAATATTTATCTGGTTTGGCTGCAAAAGTCAGTGTTAGAAATTAAGTTTGCATGAATGGGACAGGCTCTGAGCTGTGGGAATCCAGAAGCAAGCAGTCACATCTACTGATTTTTTACACACGTGATACAACTGTGATAAGCTTGCCCAAAGTCACCTGCACACCTTCACTGTTACCATCACAAGTTCACAATTTCAGACAGCACCATAATAAATATCTTTCATGTGAAGACCTAGAAAACCTGTGGCGACTTCTGGTCTTCTACACGAGCCACCAAACTACTTTGCTACCAAATTAAGCTATTTTCTGAGACTCAGCTAAAAAAATAACTTTATTATCTGTATGTTATAAATAAAATTGGTTTTATATAAGCAAACATTAAACCATGATAAAACAAAGTTTACAGATTTATCTTTCAAATAACTACTAAGTATACTAATGCATTTTAGAGCAACTTTAGAAAAAAGCAGAAGCCTGATTCACTCTTGCACAAAAGGGCACATAACAGGAATTTAAATACAGCAAGGCTGCCAGCACAGGCCAATGCAAGTCTCCAACCAGTTCTTTAGGACTGTTGGAGACATTATACTCCAAATTCTTTTACCAATCAAGTAACACAGAGTATACACTGTATAAATTCTTGTTTTATTTAAAACAACAATTAAAGTACTGTTAATAAAATAACATACAGTTTTTAAAAGGTAATTTCATTATGATCTCCCTAACATTAGAAGTGTGCCTTCAAAGTCAGTAGCTGAATCCAGTTAAGACTGCATTGATATACTTCCAAAGAGATATGCAAAGATGAATGGAACAAATTAGGGTATGGATCTGTGCTCCCAAGACCCAACTCCACTACTGAAGTCAAACATTCCATATGATTTCTCCTATTACACTGACCTCCCAAAGTCATACTCTAATAATAGAGATACACATAAGAGTAGAAGCATGTCCAAGAAGTCTATTACTGCATGCCAGTATCTATGACTTTCTACCTTCTATGTCATGTCTGTTCCACTTTACAAGGTTTTGTCATGAGTTCCTTCCACTTTTTCATTACTATCTCTCTGTTTACTCCCAGTTTCTCCCAGTCACCACCATTCTTTCAGCAGCACAGAGACTTATAATAGTTCTATAATGATTGATGCATAATTGGGAAACTCACTTGGACAAAAAAAAAAAAGGACAGAAAAACAACCTAACAGTTGAGGATACTGCAGAAGACAACAATTTGCATAGATATACAATAATTTATAGCATTATTCTAAAAAATGCAAAACTGAAATGAAGACAAATAGTACTGTGTTTTTAATTTTGTGCTGTGCTTTCTGGTTATCTTGGTAAGGCAGAAAGTGTAGCTATTGCTTTAGTTATTCATCAGGAGTATCTTCTACTCCTGGCACACAGAAAAGTACAACATAAACTGGCAATTTACAGGCAGGACTTTTTAATACTTATCTGTGTACACTATACTTCAAACAAAACAAAACTAGAAGAAATATCAATAGATAAAGTGTTTATAGAACCTCTCCAGGAGTAGTATAGCAGAGAGTCAACTGCATCAAAACCCACAATGAATGTGATTGCCTTAAATGAGGTCCTCAGAACCAATGAGTCTACCTATGAGTAGGTTTTTACATTATTTCAAGAGATAAGGTTAAAATTCCACCAGTATTTTTTGGAAGGAGGAGGAGGGCCACTCATGAAGCTGTTGAAAGGGCAAACTATGGAGAAGAGCTGGAGATTATGTGTTCTCCAATGCAATGGTATCTGAGATGAAAATTCATGTAGATACCAGAGATTACATGTCTCCCCAATGCTCTTCTAGATGTGCTCTATTCTAATTCAGCCTCAACTGAGAGAATTCACATAAACTCTGCAAAAAAAGAGGCCTAAAATAATTTTTATAATCCATAAAGTCATGACAAGATGATGCAAACACTAGAAAATTTGAGGCTACTTTTGTCTTCTACCAAGGCTAAATAAAGGTTACATTTTCTTCATTAGTCTTTTATTTCCATGCTTTCAAATTTCTATATGCCCTTACTTTTAAATTCGAGACTTAGTTCTAGGTAAGCAAGAAGGGGAATTTTAGACAAAGATATTGTTTAAAACTGCCAATAGATTCTGAAAAACATATATTGTGTTCAAGCTCTGCTTCCTGTCTAGTGTGCTAGATTTGGTTTAGGTTTGGCTTTTCCAAGATGGAAATTGGGATCTTGGTGAATAATTCTGATCCAAAGGTAGTATTTCATAGTCACAGAAAGTCCAGAGTTGGCTACAATAGGGAACAAGATTGAGTACATTTGGCAAATGAAACCAATAAGCAAGAGATTTGTTTAAAGTGTTTCAGAGAAGAGTAACTAAACTGACAGGATGAAACAATGCAGATGGAAACACAGTAAACTATTCTTGAGTACATGTGAACTATAATCTAGGTGGAGAGATATATTGTTGCCCACTCCTGTAGCCAGGTCATTTACCTACTTCTCCAGGTATCAGATGAATGCATCAACTAATCTTCACATTATGTCTTGGTCTGTTTCAAACAGAACTTAAGAATATGCTATTTTCTTCATCTATGGAAAAAGTTTTAGTTTGCCCAAGAGCCACAGAAACAGGGGTAAACTGAGAAGGGAAGAGGATGCAGATTTTTTAATATATCTGCCTTTGCAGAATGTCACAAAGGCACACTTTATTACATTATAACAGTCTGCAAATTGTGAGCTTCCAGTTCAGCTGCTCTTCCTAGATGCTGAAAGCCACCCTGCGCTTTCACTCAGCCAAGCTTTACAAGCTCCTGATCAGAGAAGCAGAAATATGGTTTGAACTGAAAAAAGATTTTCAGCAGCACTGCACATACCTTCCCACCAATTTCCTCATAAAATCACAATTTGACTGCCATTTCAATTGTTTCTGATTGTTTATTTTTCCAAATAGGGGCTTCCCTTCCTACCTTTCCCAAGAAAAGATATGTAAAAGAGATGTTAATTTCCACTTCCTTTCTATCTTCTCCTGTTGTTTTCTGTTTTCTCTACAGTTCAACCCACATTCCCTTGGAATTTAAATTTCCTAAGACACTGTTCTTGTTCTTCCCCATCTAAACTGAACTATCTAAATTAAACTTCCTCTACTAGCTGACCAGCTGTTCAAGCCTTTCAGACAGGAAACTCAACAGAAAGAATGATTTTTACTCTGATTTGTCCCCAGATCTTAAGTGTGAATTTAGACATTTTTATTACACAATAAATTACAAGGCAACATGAGGTACACTGCAAAGCATCATCTTGAAATACTGGTGAACCTCAACTCAGAAAAAAGACTGTCATCTAGATTCAACAGCTCTAAA